GATCTGGCGTGAATTTTAAGCCACCAGGTCCGGGACTCAAACTGCGGTCGACTACGTGGGAGTCCAGCGACATAGCCATTACGCTAACTGCTGGTCCCTGTAGTTTTTCATAATACACATTTTCCATGAGTATTTTGAAGACTCCCCTCACATTCTTTTGAAGACTCCCCTCACATTTAGAGGTCATTCAGTTGAATTACTCAGTTTTTTTTCTTAAAAAGAATTGTTTCATTTATTATTATGATTTAAAAAAAAAATTGACCAGAGAAAAACACACACACAGAAAGGGAAAGTGAGAAAGCAAGCATCTAGGTCTAGGAATTGAACCATGGTTGGCCATATGGAAGTCCAGCACCTTAACCACCATGCCACCTGCGGGCCCCAAATGTACTCATTTTTAACATGAGAAAAAGGAATTTAAAAAGTTTTTTTCTTGAAGAGGTTTCTTTGCTATAGGGTGTGTGTTTTCACCAGAAAGAGCAAGACAGAGAGATAGGAAGCAAGAAATCACCTCTTTGGGGGATGGCCAAGCCGCGATCCCTTCTCCATTCTCCTCTCAGGATCTTAAACATGCATGCACATGTGCCCGGCATGAGTTTAAGCCACCAGGGCCGGGACTCGAACCACAGTCAACTACATAGGAGTCCAGCGACGTAGCTATCTGCTGGTCCCAAAAGAGGAATTTTAAAAACTTGAGAAGTTAAAGAATTTGTTCAAGTTTGTGTCTAAGAGCAGAGCTAGGAAGAACAATATCTGTTTCCTTCTCTACTTTTATCTGTCAGTAAGTGATATCTGGGTTCTGGAAGACTACAGGGACCCAGTTCAAGACTTGGGAGTGTGAGAATGGAGGAGAATGAAAGGACAATGTTCTGGGAAGGAGAACAAGACTACTAAGACATGAGTATATCTCTACATCTTTCTTCATGACTGGTTCTAGTAAAAATAATCAGCTACTATATCAGGCCAACACACACACACAGACACACACACACAGACACATACACACACAGAGTTTCTCAGATCCTGATACTACTGGTCTACGGTCCATACTTTTAAGGCTGGAGACAGAGCAATCAGCTTGCTGGGTTTTCAATGACCCCATCAGCTCACTGTTTTTAAATTACAACATTGTGCCTTCAATTTCTTGATATTTTTTTTATTAGTCACCAACAAAAGAGTTTGACTATCATTACAAATCTGAGAACTTCTGCAACACATCTTCCATGTAAAGACTTTATTGAGTACCACCACTATCCACAGGCCTTGGGCTGTGTAGTCACCTTGGTCCAGTTTCAGAACTACAGCCAAGGAGAATAATGGAGTGATACTTTGCTGTACGCTGAGTCCTTGCTCCTTCCAACCACATAGAGCATAGAGTATAAGGACCAAAAGAGCCACCTCACCCATGACAAAACTAAATCCCACACTTCTGGTGTGCCCTTCTCTCTACACCTGCATTAGGCATATTAAGGGGGAAGATTAGGTTAGACAATTTAGGTAGTATATTGGCACTTGATGCGCACCTTTTTTCCTGGTTTCTTATAGTATTACGGCCATCATCCAGTTCTAACTGTGGGCAAATATTTCCACTTCTTAGGGCCCCAATTTGTCCCTCTGTGGAAGACAGAGTTGGGTTTCCTATGCATACATTGCGAACCTTCTAACATTTCCTTTCATGGTTAAAAGTAATATGCAAAGGAGACTGTGTAGGCTATAAAGTCAGACAGATCTGGATTTGCATGTTGGACCCATACTTTTTTTTTTTTTAAGAGAGATTTTTGCTGTAGGGCATGTGTACTTGCCAGAGAGACAGAGACAGAGACAGAAAGCAAGAAATCACTCTTCATGGGGGGATGGCCATGCCTCAAGCCCTTATCTATTCTCCTCTTGGGATTATGGGAATGCACACACATGCTTCTAGCATGAGTTTAAGCCGCCAGGTCTAGGACTTGAACTATGGTCAAGTACATGCAAGTCTGGTGGCATAACCATTATGCCATCTGCTTGTCCCTGGATCCATATTTAACCATTTAAATGACCTTATTTGTCCCCTTACCTGTAAACCCAATTGCTTCACCCCTACCTCTTAAAAATTTCTGTCTTCTCTCTCTTTCTGGACATTCACTCCCCCTGCATTCTTTTTCTCTGTATTCAACTTTCAGAATACATGTGTCTGTTTAACTCCTTAAAACTGTCTCATTTTCCTTCCTTCCTTCCTTCTTTCCTCCTTCCTCTTTTTCCCTTCTTCCATTTCCTTCATGTTCTGAATGCTAGGCACAGGATATTCAAAACTCTCTGCAACATGCTTCTAGGCTGTGAAGAATATTTGGTGGGGGTGGGATGCATAAACAAATTAGAATGGTGCATTCTATAGCAGCGATGTACAAGATATTGATGGAACACAGAAAGAGAGCAACTCACTCCCCAGAAGAGACTCTTATGGCATTTGTGTTGAACCTTCTTCTCTGGGAGCAATGTCCCAGTGTTGCAGGTGTCAAGAAGTGTTATATCTCAGTGGAGAAAGACTACGCAACATGTGCATCTGTTCTTGGAGAGTGGAAAAGCGCCCCAACAGTAGCAGAGCCTTACTGAGGTGCAGATACACCCGGTTGTTGCCATTATTTCTGATTCCTGAGCACCATGTCAGCACCTTGTTATTCAGCCCAAGGGACTTTCACGAGATGTCTGTTCAGTAGATGAGATGCCCCATTGTGAAACCAGTGCTTCTCTGACTTTAATTCACCTGCAGATACTGATTCACCAGGTGGGCCCCAGAGTCTGCATTTCTACTGATGCTGCTGGTCTACGGTCTACACTGTGAGGTACAAGCCATTACTGATGCTATTTTGCTGCTCTAAAACA